TATCTATCTATCTATCTATCTATCTATCTATCTATCTATCTATCTATCTATCTATCTATCTATCTATCTATCTATCTATCTATCTATCTATCTAGCTATTTATCTTTATTGAAACGAAACTTGATTCATAATCTGGCACGTACACGCTGTGTGAAGTTTATTCAAAATTGGATATCAATTTTGGAAGCAATCACTTGACTATTATAATATAAATAAAGTATATATAATTAAAGTATCGATACATAGATAGTTTTATGTATAAGAGTATTATGTATAAGAATTGACTAATTAATTAAAAAGTATAAGCTATGACAGCAATATTTTTTTGTTAGTATGTATATACTAGTATTCGTTTTATATACTACTTTTCCTTTTAGTTGCAAAGTATTATGTCACCAATGCATATCGTAAATGTGGTATTTATCTGACGATTATGATAATTACTACACTCAAAGTCAACTGTAATGGAATATCGTTGGTTTTTTTTTTTGGTGTATTTTTCGTTTCACATTATCGTCCCATAAAACTCTGATGATTGATCACTGAACTGACTTTGAAAGTCTAATGTAAAATGAAAAGATGACTAAAAAGTGATTAAACAGTTAAGTCAGAAAAATTCAACACATCCTATGTCTACTTATATCGAGAAAGTTAATTAATTCGAACTTTACAAATATAATATCAACGATGTATATATAAAGACCTTGAAATCATTTTTAGTCATAGAATTTCCTTTAGCTAGTTACTAACACAAGACTGATGTTATGTTACAGATGTTAACCAAAGCGGTGCCATCGATAAGAAAGATTTCGATCTGGCTGTACAGGTATGATTTATTTTATGACGTTAATAAATTGTAATGTATCATTGGATAATACTAAGAAACAAAAATCTGTGTTCTCCAATCTCTCATCGTAATTCCCACCTATATTAATTACAATCCTTGACTAATATTACACAATCTTGGTATCTTTTTTTTTAGCGGATCTGCAATTCCAGACATTGGAGTGCCGATAATCCGAAAACAACGCAAACGAAGGATACCTTGTTGAAAATATGGGAAAGTTTGCAACAACGAGCCGATTCCGATCAAGATGGACAAGTAACAATAATAACAACAAAATATATTTATATACAAGTAAATGATTAAAAATAAAAATTGAAATTAAATTGAATATTATTTTTATAGATCAGTCGAGACGAGTGGTATTCTATGTGGGAAGATTACGCTAAGGATCCAGCAAACGCACATGATTGGCAACAAACTTACATGAAATTTATGTTTGATCTGGAAGATTCCTCAGGTATGTTAATTAATAACGAGAATAATAATTTAATATAAAACAACGATGACAACAACAACAACAACAACAAGTGACAGAATGATGAAAGAAAAAGATATATCCCAAGACAATTAATCCCACTCGATAGCTTCTAGGAAAAAGCCCTTTTATTTTTTCCCAAGCCCTTACATCGAGAATATTCTATTTAAAGATTTTCGAAGTACATTTTATCCCCCTTATAATGAACTTTAACAGGTGACGGATCAATCGATGAGAACGAGTTTAGCAACGTTTGTCACAGTCATGGAGTACAGGAGGCTGAAGCTCGTGATGCTTTCAAAAAAATGGGGGTGGTAAGTAGTGACAAATTCATGAATAAAAGATCCCTATAAAGGAGGGTATATAAAAAGACTATTTTTATAAATTAAATATTGGTTAAGTTATTTTTTATAAAATATATTATCTTTTTTTTCATATTTATTTTTTTTACAGGGTAATGAAGTAACACGAGACAAGTTTTATGAGCTTTGGAAACAATACTTCACCTCTGACGATCCCAACGCACCTGGAAACTTTATATTCGGAAAGACCTCGTTCTAACCGTCCTTTCGCTTCGGATTTGTTACACGACATTTATTATTATTATTATTATTATTATTATTATTATTATTATTATTATTATTATTATTATTATCTTTTCGTTATCAGCACGCCGAAATATGTACGCTATCAATAATTAATTGAGTAATTAGTTTTTTTTTTATACGCGATATGACTCGCGTAGTACATAAGTTTGGTTTGAATTTCTTTTTTCTCTCTTTCTCTTTCTCTATCTCTTTCGCTCTTTTTTTCTTTTTTTTTTCTTTTTCTTTTTTTTTAGATTGCATAGAGCTGAAAGATATCTCTCGTATGAGAAAAAGGATGGTAATGAGGAAAAAAAAATAAGAAAAGAAAAAAAAATTCATTATGATCATAATAATTGTTAATATCTCGTTGTTTAATTGGTAATAATCGTTAATAACGCTATTAATCATCGTTAACACCGAAAATAATTATTGCGTAATGTTCTATAACGTGTTGTTGTAAATTTAGTTAAAAACGATTTCGTTTCAATGCGAATCGTTCTGTGTAATGTCGTAAAAACAAAAACCAAAAAAAACGTATTAAGAGTTTTAATAGTTTCTATATGTTTGAATAAACTCATTTAATTCAACATATACATACGACTATTGATTGTACCTTTTTATAATTATTAATTATTAATTAATAATTAATATATATAAGCTGATAATTATGATAATGAAATTAGTTAAAAGAAAAACAAAATATATTAGAAAAAAATTGATTTTTTTTTAAATAATATATAAAATAAATTGTAAAATTAATTAAATTATTGTAATTATCAGCACAAGTAAAAATCTTTAATTAAATAATTAAATAAACCTTCCTCTTTCTGATCAACGACCTTGAATTTTTTTTCTATACATTAATTGCATATCTTACGATATGGCGCTGCAGTTGTTGCATAAATTTATAATTTTAAATAATTGTATCGTTGTTACTCTTTTTTAGTTTTCTTTTTAATTTATTTAACTAATTATTATTAATATAAATTGACATAATTTTCTAAAAATTATTTTAAAAGAATAAAAATTGCAAACTCGCATAATGTCAAATAAGTATAATACATGAGTGAATATAATTAAATAATTATTTAAATATTTGTATAATAATTTATACGGTTGAAGTACTATCGTTGGTAATATGAGCGATAATATGATCACACCTGTGAAATTTAACCGCTTTAATATCATTTTATACAGAGAGTACGTAAATTAAAGGTTATCCGGTGAAATACATCCATGTAAACACGTTTGGAAAGATAATGCAGGTAAATTCAGTAAAATTATTATACGTATTTAATATTCATTAATATTCTAGAGTTTCATAACACTTGGGTGTGTGTGATCTTATAAATTTTCCGAATAATATTATATAATTCATTCTAACCTCAAAGTATAAAAATCTATTTCATATAATCATCATTTAAGTAGATAACGTAGGTATTAACGTTCACTCGTATTATCCATATCTTATCATACTCAAGACTTTTAACTTTATACTGTTCGAATTTTCATACTTTAACGTTAGTAATAACGTTATAGTCATTTCAAATTCTTAATCCAGTATCACATTCTTTTATATAAAGCGTGTTACTTTCTACATTTAGTATTATCTACAAATGTGTTTTATAGTTGCAGCTGAAATAGGGGTGAACAGTATTAATAGGTACGTTGATTAAAAATTTACATTATTTTAGATGACTATTCTATTACATTTATATATTTCATTTTTTATGAACATATGGTATAACATACTTATATAAAGTATAAGATAATTTATTACATTTTAGGTTGGATCTATGGGATGAGTTAATATTGTTAGCAATAAGGATTGGTGGTCGAGGTGGAAAAGGTTAACATAATCAAAGGAATAACCATGACTTCCCTTGGGAAATTAATCTTTATAGATATACACTCTAGGAATCCAAAAGTTTCATTTTCCAATGATTTGCAAACTAGTTATGTTGAATCTTTGTCCTTCGCATTTCAAAATCTATTTCATATGCCATTCGATATTATTGAAAATTATGGAAACACAATACACACTTTAGATATTAGTCATAATAAATTCTGTAGGTGAGTACACTATATATAGTTCATTCTTTAGATAACTTTAATTATATCCATTAAGTTGTTATATTGATTCCTTTCTAGAAATTTACAATTTCTATCGGAGTTTGAAAACCTTACGTCTCTCAATTTGGATTATAATAATATAGATGACTTTACGGTTTTCCCATATATGCCGAAACTTCAATTATTATGGATTAATCATAATAAGATAGATCAATTATATCCATTTATTAAGAATCTCTATGAGAGTATGCCTAATTTGAAATATTTGAGTCTTATGGGAAATAAGGCTGCGCCTAGTTATCTCAATGGTGGAACATTCTATGATTACCTACAGTATAGGTAAGATATATTACACAGACAAATATGTTTCATTATATTTTCCAAAGCTTTATATATGATTACATTACTATTACATTACTACTTTCTTTATAAAGATTGTTTATCATATCATGGTTTCCACATCTTGTACATTTGGATGATCGAACAATTACTGTTGAACAATATGAAGAAGCTAAAAGACTGTTTAAGAGGCCATTTTTAGAAAGTTTATCTGAGAATGCTCCATTACCAGACTGTCTTAAGTATTTGCATAAAAAATTAGCAAATATGTTTTTTAAGCCAATCTTGCCTAATAAACAACAAAGTAGGGGTACGAATTTTGTTATTTGAAAGATTTGTAAGTGAAATGAAGGTATGAGAGCAGCTCTAGAGAATTTATAATGTTTTTAAAGACATAATAAGTATATAAAAATTCTCTTAGACTTTTAAAACAACCAATAACTGCCTTACAATTGATATCATATATAGTAATTATTATTGTATTATTTCTAAGTAAATATATAGAAGAATTAAGGATTTTAGATATGTTATGAATAACATTACCTTTGTCCTAACTTATTTGTTACATGCAAATGTTTATGCAAATATGACAACTATTTTGGGACAAATAGTAGAAAATTGGGACAAATAGACAAAAAATACTATTTACAATACATCATGGAAATACAATTTGTTTATCACGGTTATAGTTTAAAAATTAACAAAATCTAATTAACTAATAGCAATAATTTATATTGAAATATTTTGTTATTTGTTATATAATGTAATCTATTATGTTCTTATTCTCCTTTTATACCTAATTGCTTCATTTTTATATATAGTTTTATGAATAACCTGTTATTTTTAAATTATCATTTATTATTGCTTCTTTATATACTTAAATAAAATTCATATATGAGATTATTTATATATCTTTATGAGATTATTATGATATTTATGTAATTAAATATATATATATATATATATATATATATATTATGATATTAATACTTGATAAATGGAAATTTTTAAAGTAACGAACAATAAGTTGTAAAAGGTATTATAATTATAATACAGAATAAATACATTTTCTTATGCATTGTTTTTTTGTACACATTAATTCATTTATACATTGATACATTAATTAATATTTTCATAACACCATTTATATATATATATATATATATATTAATTCATATACATATACACATAACTAAATACTTTCTATTTCATTTTTTTTACAACGAAAATAAAACATTTCCAATAATTTTCATTATAAGTTTATTAAAGCCTTAGCATAGTTGTTTTATTTTTATTATTTAAGCAGAAACCTATTTCCTTATTGTTATTTATTTTTAATAATACGAACTTTAAAGTTGCAATATATACGAACTAACCGATATATTTGCAAGAAATATGAACTAATAACAATTAATAAATCTTATTTTCTATTTTACGAAGATACATTATAATTCAGATAGAACTTCCCCATAGATAAAGAACTTGAAGTGCAAATGTCATCTATAACAAATATAAACAAATAGATCAAATGACAAATGATAACATTTGCAACTAATTTAAATGCATTTTAAGGATTTTGTTTCGTATTAATTTGATAAAGACATAGTACCACATCTAAAAATTGTTTTACGACGTAAAATATCCTAGTATTTGGCATTGTATCAATAGAATTTCTGATAACATATATAAGGCCGCCATTTCGTTGTATCCCTTCGCATGTTATTCCATTAATTGTTATCGTACATGGTAAAGTACTACGTAAAAGTTTGTCTATTAAATGATTCGTCGTGTATTCAAAATTTGCAACGGAATGGATGATCTTTTCAGGTACAGTCATCAATCTAGGGCCTATTACTGGAACACTTTTTAATAATAATGCTATTGATACTAAATCTCTAATTAGTGCATCATCCTGATGAATATCAACGTCTCTTGAGTCCATTGGTCCTCTAGCTTAAAAAACAATAATATAATAATATATAAAATACAATAATATATATAATAATACAATACATAATACAATATATAATATATAATACAATTTATACAATATATAATACAATAATATATATAAACAATAATAATAATAAATAAAAATACATTTAATATATATAATAATAATAATAAAATAATATTTTTTGTATAACAATTATATATTACATCATATTCTATAAAATATTTATTTTATTTTTTTATTATTATATATTAAATATTTTAACAAAATATTTTTATATCTATAATACATTGTTTATTAAAAAATTATAATATTACTTACCAATTACAGCACTGGAACATACATTGATACAAATTAAACAGGAAAAAATAACAGCGAAATATTGATATTTTTGTTTTATCATGTTGCTTCGTATTTTTTCACAAATAATAATTTTAGAAAATAATTGTGATGCAAAGTACCTATTGTTTTATTTCAATGCTGTCAATAAGAAACGTTCCAGTCTTAGAACGTTTGACTAACTTACAAAAGAGTCTAATGAAATATTCATTACTGTAAAAATATGCGTTGTCATTTTAAAATAATAATCCAACTGATGCATGTATCTTATCGTGTAATTTGTTATTTTTAAAGTTAACAATTAGAATAATTTTAGCATTGAATATCTTCACGTGGTGTTTATAATTATTGTTTCTTTGTATTTTATTTTTAACGAGCATTGTCATACAATTTCAAGGTTTTTTTAAAAATTTATTGTTGTTGATATTCTTTTTATATAATATCAATGTGTGTGTTTTTATATTAATTGATATTAGAACATTTATATCGTTACTTTCTAGTTAACAAATTAATTTCTGTTTCTTTTTATATATTTGATGCTTAATATGCATGTATATATTATATATAACATAAAAGATATAATATATACTATTTATTAATATTTATAATAATTTTATAATAATTAATTAACTATTATTATTAAAAATAAATTTAATAATATTATAATATTATTTATTATAATATTATATATATTATATTTAATTATATTATAATATAATAAAATAAATATTAAATTATATTAAATTTATTAATAATTAATTAACTATTAAAATATAATATAAATATATATTTATAATAATTAATAATATTTAATAATTACTGACCACTACAATGCAATATATTTGTATAATAATATACAGTAATTTTTCTATTTTACATTTGTTTGTATGTTTATAACTTTATTCAAGGCTCGAAATAATTATTATCGTAAAAAACGTAAATTACTTTTATCTATATTTGAACGTATGAATGTTACACATAGAATAACTTTTGTTTTAGTTTGTTTGTTTAGTTTTACAATACACACTTGTTAATAAATTCCTTATATAAAAATAATATTTATATATTTTTTTTAATCATATTTATATACAAATTTATTTATTATCATCTACAATATCACTTGAATAACCAATAAAGAAAAATTGGTTATTTGGTGATAATGATTTTACATAAAAATAAATTTTTCAATTGTTTAAATTCTTAATTTCTGGAGCATAATCTTTCCATAATGATAAATCCATGTCAGGTAGATCTTTGCAATCAACCAGTGGATTTCTGAAAATACGAATAGAATTAAGAAGAAGAACGTAATTGTTCTGACATAATCGTTAAATATAAATTGAATACTTACGATTCGGAAATAAGTTCGAAACCTTTGGGTTGCATTAATTTAATATTATCACCATTGTCACAGAATAATTTGGATATTGTCGATTTTCGTATTTCTCTCAATTGTTCTAAAAGTACAGTTTATTATTTAATTTTGATGTAAAGAAAGAAAAAAAGAAAAAAAGAAGAAAATTATTTAAGGATAATTATAWTTAGTTTCATTATTTTTTATAATAAAAATAATATTATAATTAATTATACATTTAAATTATCGAATATGAAATTATTATATTATTATATTATCTATTATATTATAATATAATTTAATATAAATTAAATTATAAATTTAGTTATTCATTTATATTTAATATATATTTTAATATGAATTATATTAAAATATTATATTAACTATATTATTATTATTTCTATTATTATTATTATTATTATATATATAATACTGACCTCTGGTAAATGCTAGTTCATGATCACCAGTTTCGTACCAGAATCGATCACCAACTCTAGTTCGATAAAATTGTCTAAGAAGAATGCAAAGGAAGGTTGGACCAGTAAGAGTACCTGGCACGTGTTCTTCCAAAGAACCACCAACAGTTAAATCTACGTCATCAGGATAGGAATAGAGACTCGCTAATTTTTTAATATTCTACAAAAAAAAAGCAAATACTTAAACAATACAACACAACATAAAAATATTCTTTCGAAGAGAATCATTTGAATGAATAAAAATGTCTTCATACTTCTGGTGATATGTAATCGCTGAAATCATTCCAATGTACAGCTTTTTTCAAATGACAATATTCACGAAAATCATTATACGATGCTAAACCATGATCACGATTTCTTTGTATATCCGTGGCACGTAAATCTATGCCAAATTGTTCTTGACGTTTAAACAAGTATAACGTTGTCTAAAATAACAAAGGAAAAATTACATTTATCATAATTATCATAATGAATTAAATAACAAAAATTGAAAACAAGAGACATATTTTATAAAATAAATCATAAGAATAATATTCTTTATTTTGCTTTGATTTAATTCATTTTTGAAGGTAAATATATAATAAATTAACCCATTACTCGACAATGGCCTTATTTTGAAACGCATTTTAAAATTTTAGTTTTTTTTTTAATAAGTGCAACTTTAGAATGAGATATTAAAAATTATGAAAATATTAGAAGTTTTTACTATTTTATTTTAAATCAATAATTAATGATATAAAATTATTTTTATAATTATAATATTATATTATTTAATAATGTTTATATTAATATCATTATACAAGTATTACAGTATTTATATACTTCAGTAATACTATATATATTAGTAATTTATGTATTTATTATAGTATTTAATATATATTAGTAATTATATTAGTGTAATATATAGTAATATATTATAAATTATATAATAATACTATATATATACTATAATATATACTAAGTATATAAAATATACGTTGGTTGAAACTTAAATAATGGCAACTCTTTATTCACAACCGATACAAAAGAGTTACATGTTTGCACCTGTTACTGTCCTTCAAAGTAGTCACCAGCGTTGTGTAGAACCCGTTGYCAGCGATGTGGAAGGCGTAGTATACCGTCAGCAGAGCTTGTTCTGTTAATGGTGCGAATAGAGCTCAATGGAGCGGTCTACTGCTATGTCTCATCCAGTGTTACGATACGGCGTAAGAAAGCCTCTCATTCSGGCTCAWAGCKCTCCAAGTKCGTTTGARCAGCTTCGYAACGCATCCATTTCTGCATTTCCATTAATTCATGCGGAACCCATCGTGGCATTCGCTTCAGAACTGTTCCAGAGATTCGACAGGTAGTAGACCGCTCCATTCGCACCATCAACAGAGCAGGCTCTGCTAACAGTATACTAAGTCTTCCAAATTGCKGGCAACGGGTTCTACACAATGCTGGTGACTTCTTTAAAAGACAGTAATAGGAGAACACATGTAACTTTTTCGTATCAATTTTGAATAAATAGTTGCCACTATTTAAGTTCCAACCTACGTAATATAGTATAGTATTATAATATATATATATATATAATATACTATAATAGTTATAGTATTAATATTATTATGCAAGTAATTTAATTTTCTTTTCTTTGAATTTTCGTATTGCTTTCGGTAATGGGTTAATAAAAAAAAATAAAGATATATAATAAAAAATATATATACTTCTKCGTCGAAAAATTGATCACTGGCTAATTCGTGTTGACACGACAAACCTCTTGTAAGACTATCCATATTATCACCAYGTTCAATAACTTCAGGTTTATTAGTCCAATCACTTAATCTTAATGGTTGTGCAACTGAATGTCTTGCTTCGTTTATTAATCTAATTTTTATTAACAAAAATGAAATCATTTTTAATTTATAACAAAATAATATAATCAATTTGAAATAAAGTGAAWTGTAACATTGATATAAATCATGTGGTTAAATACTAACTTGAGATATCCAGCAATAAGAGAATGGAAATATYTRAATGCTGCAGTAGAATGTTCATTAAGAACACTTGGATCAACGTGAGRATTATAATCATTAACATAATCATCCGTATGGTAAAGTATTTTATTTTCATARRTCTGCTTTTCACCTGTATATTTAAAGGATTAAATAGTAAACACAMACAAAGTATTTTTTAATGCTTTTTTTAAGTTGTATGTGTGAATKACATACAACTTTTTTCACGTTATATGAGTAAAATATATTTTTATTTACATATAACTACCATATATTATATTACCGCAATAAATATACATAAAAATATATTTTAAGATGAGAATTATCGAAAATGGTAAGGAATTTTCGAAAACAATAAAATCCAAGGAAATAACGATATATATTTATTTTATGCGYGAAGGAAGGACGTGCATGAAAAACGAGGACAATGAATAGTTAAGTAGTTAAGTATAAATTTATCTTGGTTAAGAATTAGGTCTTATTAAAATAACATAAACACTATGAGAGTATTAATGTCAAAGAATATTGAAAAAGTTATAAGAAAGTTTGAATTAAATAAAAATAAAAATAATTCATACCAAGGAATAATGGTAGCCATTCGTAATATGATATATGTTGATGTTTGGCAATAAGAATACGYCTSGTTTCTTGATAAGTCATTTCATCTGACCAATGWGGATTTAAACGTGCAAGTAYTCCTGCTATACGATTGTGTTCTCTAAGTAACAATATCTGCAATAYCGTTAATTGGGTATTTTGATTTACACGAGTATCACCTATAAAAATAAAATTTTATTTTATTAAATAATTAGTAACAGATAGAAACATAAAATTRTTATTAATTCAACTTATTATTTAATTATTATATAATTKCATTTTATTCTAATATTATTAWYTTTAAAAATATATTAAATTTTATAGTTTAATTAAATAATTAATTAAATTACGCCTAAAAGTAGGCATTATTCCATYCAGTGTCGATAAAYTGGAAATCTACATTTAGTTTCRTAATGATATACYAAAACATTTATAACTTTTCGTACTAACAGATGTCTCTAGTAAGTCACATTTTATTTATTTAATATTTATTAAAATAATTCAAATCTTTTTGTATAAAACATGTATTGATATTTCAATTATATTTCAATAAATTTAATTTATTTTTATTATTGAATCCAACAAATCCAAACAAGTATTGCGTTATTTTTAATGCAACATTTGGTTGAAATAAAAATATGATTTGTTAGTTATTTAATAAATAAAATAATAAAAATATAAAAAGAATATTACCAGCTGCGTAACATATTTCGTTTTGATGATCKAGATTGCAAATAGTCGATTTATTTTCCGCTGCTGGAAGCCATTCTCTATTATTACGGATGTCTACTCTCAAACGTCCAGCAATTCTGGCACGGACACTGTTTGCAACTTGATCGGTTGATCCATAAACGATCGAAAGATCCAAATAATGTGTAACTGCAGTTAACTATAATATGTAAAATGTATTTATAATAAATCAATTTATCGTAAGTACAAACAATAATGATTAAATTTAAAAATCAAATATACAATCGATTCTAAAATCATAAACTTTTAATTTTAATTATTATTACTATTGATAAAAATATTGAATAAAAATAATACAGTATTGTAAATTCATTTTTACTACTGTATTTATGAGATAGATATTTTCGTCACAATTGTGCAGCTGTTGTTTAGAAAATAAACACTACGTAAGTTTTTTTATTCTTACTATACTTGTAAACCTTTTTATATATGGTATTCATATAAAATATTAATAAAATAATGAACKAACAAATCTTAATCTGTATAATTAAGATTTTTTAAATGATAATTGAACGTTTATCATCTGTTATACATACTAAAATAATTTTAATCAACAAGGCAAATTGCAATTAATGAAAAACAATAGGAAAAAGTTAWTAAAAACTAAATTTATAATTTAYTTTTTTGTTCTCTTAAATATTATTTTATAAAAAATATAAAGAGAGTTTGTGAAAATCGAATAAAAAGARAAAAAAGTTAATTTATTATCATTTTAAAGTATCGAAATAAAATTGAAATTTAAATTGACAMTTTATTATTGCATTATTATTTTATCTGTAATAATTTAATTAATTAAAACAATTGAAAAATTGATGTCAAAATTTTTGGATAAAATTATTGTATTATTAAAAAGTATTAAAGTTTTGTTTGATAGCAAGAATATTAACGTAATAGATCTATAAGAAGTTACAAAAGGATATTACATGAGAAAGTAACTAACCTGTTCTGCAGCGGGTTTGTTTCGTAAGTTGCAATGACGGTCAAGATCAGTAATACTACGAGTGAAGTTCATACATTCAATTGAATGTATGTACGGATCATTATAAGGTATTATGATGGGATAACATTTCGGATCAGAAAATTCTGCGGGTGTAAAATAACCGTCGTTTGTACAGCATTGTATCGCATGGGGAACTATTTTCGTAAAAAGAAATAAATATACACAAAAATAATATAAATTAAAATTAATATTATTATAATATTATAAATTAATTTATTAACATAATATTAAAATAAATCAATTAATTTAATATTATAATAATAATAAAATATAATATTATAATATTATAAAACAAATTAACTATTATATTATATATAATTAGAATAATAATTAATTTATTATATTCCTATATTTATAAATTAATTTTTTTCATATTAGAGATAACAAAAAATTTTAATCTTATTTTTTTTTTATCTACAAAATAATTTTAATGCCATATAGAAAACTTATAAACAAAAAAAAATTATTTGTATATGTTAGGCTCAAAACTTTTCAACCCATTCACGATGTTTAAATACTTCAATGTGTTTCTTAATTAACTCAAATGTTAAATTGGTTAATCATTACAACTATGGTTATTCTAACATTGATTGAATATATTTTAATTTATTAACTTATTTTTATTCGATGTATGTTAGAATAAATACGTAAATATACTTTCTGGTAATTCTAATATTATACTATATTAACTAACTATATTAAACTATCGTTATATGTGACATTAAATGAGTTTCACTTGATGAATATGTTATTTAGAACCTGTACACTATTATGGCAGGAAATGGCATAATTGAAAAGAAAAAAAAGAACTCGTTTCTTGCAATGTTATCCAATATCAAGATTGAGTAAAATCAATAAGATTATTGACATAATATTGCCTTGTCTCGAGAATGATACCTTTTTTGTATAGCATTAACACTAGGTTTACGGGACTCGTCAATTTGACGTATTTCAAACTTTGAAATGAAACACGCAATAAACCATAGTATTAATCTTAACTACTTTGAATCTTAAATTTATAATTTCATTAAAAGAGTTTATACACACAATCATTATTTTCTTCAGCCTTATAAATTTTGAAATTTGTTTGTGGTATACCTATTTCTACGAGACCCGTCAAATTGACGGGTTAGCTGATTACGTAAACAATCCATATATATTTGCTTCGTTTGTAAAATTATTTCTCCAATAGTAAATATAAGAGTGAAAGAAACGTCTAAGATGCCCCCAACTCATTATCTAAATAGCGCCTTGATAAGTGACATAAAGCGAATTGTGTGGCCCGGGTGTCATGATACTTCACATTGAATGAAATCGCTTACCAGAGTGATCTTCGTGTTATTCGAAACTCAAAGCATACAGTAGACTAAATTTCGTATCGAAAAGACATTCGGTTCATGTGTTGGTGCAAACATAACACACACACAAGCAATTTTCACAGCCGACGATCGCCGACGTTAGGCTGCGATATGCTTTGAGTTTCGTATACCGCAAGTATCGGTTTGTAACGATCTTCGAAGATATCTCTAAGGCACGAGCCTGTCTTCAGTATACATAGTTGCTGCAGTGACAGTGGTAAGAACATTCAACAAGTAGTTGATAGTCAAGTTCAACAATAATACTACTATACTTGACTGTACAACAACATTCTACAATTGTATTCAGTTGAAATGTGACGTTCGTTCGAACAATACGTTAAACCTTCAGTGATAAGAAGGCAACAAAAAAAAAAGTTTGGTTAGAATTTTAAATAATTGATTCTTTTTTTACTTTAAAAGTGCACATACACACAAATATTGATTTTTATTCTGAATAATGACAGATACTCCTACAAGTACGTACAATTTATATCTATATATATATATATAGCTTGAAAAAATAATAATAATAAAAAAAAACATTATAATTATATAATAAATTAATTATGAAATATCAAGAATAAAATATATATATATATATATATATATAATTAATGCATTAATATATTAATAATAATTAATATATTAAATTATTAATATATTATTATTAAATTAAAAATTAATAAATTATAAATTAATTAATTATTATTAATTATAATAAATTGATTATTATATTTTAACAAAATTCGTTTAAATGTTGTTAAAATTCGTAATAAAATTCGTAAATTTTATTTTAAAATTTGAAAACAAAAATGTATAAAATAATACTTACATGATTGTGTTGTTCCTTCGATCAAGGCCATATCATGGGTTATAATTTGACCCCATTGCATAGCAGCTAATGTATGTTTGTTGTCCTTGATAGGTATGCTGGGAAATAATGTATAACTTACCACCCTTGATAAAGGTAATTCTTCTCCCGTAATTGATTTAGTTGGTTCTTGGATTCCTAAATAAATGAAATATTAATTAAACGTTCCGCATCGTTGAAATGTGAATAATAAATATTATCAGTTATGTATTAATTTCGTGTATAATGTACATTACTGATAAATGATTATGCAATCGTTTAAAAGTTGGTCGAGTTACAAACGTGCTTTCGATTATTAAACTCACGTTTATGGTAATGAACGTTTAAGTAAGCTACGATATGACTCATTTTAATTTATRAACAAAATTTAATTCATGGAAATGGATTATTTAATAAATCGGGTCATTATTTAATCTTCTTATTAATAATTGTTTATTATCTTTTTTTTTTTATCAGATCCTTTATTCAAACTAATTAATTATTATTTTTATATATGTTTGAAATAAATTGTAAAGATTCTAAAACTTCACTTCGTGATTCTTAAAATAAACTATTTATGAATATATATATTATATTATATTATATTATATTATATTATATTATATTATATTATAATTTGGTATTATTAATACAAATAATAATTATAATTTTTATTATTATTTTGATATTAAATTTAAAGTATTTTAATGACTAATAATTTTAAATTAAATCCATAAACAAATTTGTAACACAAATGTCTTATTTCTTTTTGTAATAAAATAAAATATATAATTTTTAAAATTATATTAAATATATTTGTAATATATATAATTATTAATTTTAATATATCTATATATAATTATTTTAATGTTTTAAATAAAATATAAAATAATTAAAATAGATATTTTGATATTGAATTTAAAATATTTAAAGTAAAAATAAAATAAATATTTTTTTTTATATAATTTTTAATTTTAATACATATATATAATTATTTTAACATTTTAAATAAAATATCGAATATTAGAAATAGGTATCACGTGTTATGACTTAATAATATTATTTTTACGTTTCATTAGAATTCTAATAGATATAAATATATATATATATATCGAATTGAATTTGTTACGATTTCAAAAACCATTGTGAATAGTATTAATTTAAGCGGATGAGAAAGTGTTAAGTCAGGAAAGTATTACACCTAAGGCCGTAACGCACTAGAGCACAATTTAACGAAGTGTAACATAGTGAAAACATGATATTGAACCATAGTGATTTCATTCTGAAAAATTCTTTGATCAATAATGCATTAATTAATGTAAGAAGAAAAAAAAACAAGAACTATTTATTCAGTCTTCGGTATGAAACATTGATAACTTTATATTTAATTATTTGTCAGAAGTAATTAGTATTCTTGTTGCATTCTTCATCACAAGTGTAGATCGTGACATAATAAGAACAAAAGGGATACAAATTTTCCAATTATTAATTCTACACTGCGATCTAGTGCACGACAATAGTTTGAATATTTACTTTTAATTAGTATTGGTACATTAACCTTGACATAAGTATGTATCATGTTTGTGTTTGTGTCTGACAATGTTTTATAAACATTTATTCACAAAAATTTTTTATTAAAATATTTCATAAAAAATTTATTAAATAAATTATATATGTTATAATTATAAATGTTATATAATTTAATTAATAAATTCTTTATATTATTAAATATTTTTAAAAATTGTTAGAAAATAAAAAAAAAACCAAAAATATAAGATTATAAAAATCTAATCCTTTTTTTGTTGATACGATTGTGGGTTAAAAAAAAATAAAATTAAATATAAAATAATAAATTAAAAATAATAATATATAAATTAAAATAAAATATGCCTTTTTTAACAACAATATCGTTAAGTTTGTCCTTGTTTGTTATCACCACTTTAAAAAAAAGTTTTCATTAATTTTGTCGTTCAAAATAGTGTAAAATAGTTTTTAGGTGTTTTTTATTACCTTTTTTTCATTAATTAGATTTCAAATAAATTTTTACAATATTTTATGCGTGAATGTATAATTTGTTAATTTATATTACACCTATACACGCCTATATATATACACAAAATGATTTAGAGTGAAAGGCACGTGTTTATCTTATCAGAGTACCATACTTTCGTAGTGATTTCTGGTTTTTCACCTACACGTATTAATGACTATCACGAAATTCGTAAAATTTAACTACCAGTTGTAAACTACTTAACTTTAATAATAACAAAATTATAAAATTTACGCTTCGTTGAATGATTTTCATTACTGGCAAATATTGAACCTAACATTTAGATATATTATATTGTTTACACGCAGTGACTGGAATAATACGCACGAATAATTCTGTCACGTTCGATTTACGCACGATAATCAAACCAAAAAATTGCATTATTATTATTAGTATTATTATTATTATAATTATTATAACATTTTTATAAAAAATAATCATAGAATTATTTAACCGAAAACTATTTCAATTATTTTACATCTAACACGTGCGTACATTATATGTGTACATTATACATATATACATATATGTGTATACGTGTGTATGTAAAATTTATTTTARAGAATGATGATAATAATAATAATAATAATAAAAGTATATCGTTTCTGAGAAAGCGGAAGTTGTTAAAAGTTAACGACGGGATTATAAGTTGCGTGAACAAACGAAATAAGTAAAAAACAAATGGAGGAAAGGAAAAAGAAAAAAAAACATTCTTTACGACAATTAGAGACATTCGCATAGTTGGACAAGTATTGCATAATAATGATAAACGATATATACCAATAATAATAATAAATATCAACCTTATATGCTTCAAGGTATCATTAATGAAGCATATATCCGATGGAATGATTTCTTTTTTTTGTCCTCTCTATAGACTAATTCCTTACTTACATTAGTTATCAATTATATCTAGACGTAAAAAACATTGTTCTGAATTGTTTTACTTCGTACTAAAAGAAAAAAAAAATATGATCAGTACTGTTAGTAAATATGATATAAATTGATTAAAATTGTTATTGGGTTTTTGATTTGGTTTGGTTTTATTATTTTATATTATTGGTTTGGTTTTTTTTTTTTTATTATTGATTAAAATTATTATTGCTATTGGTTTTAATGCAATAATAATTTAGATACTTTTATTGCATCATTTTTCATAGTAACTTTAGTATTTGTTTATATTATATTAATATTRGAATTTAGTATTGGGYWWTGTTGTAAGGTTAATTATATGAAGGTTAATTATCATGAAATAATTTRAAAAAWTGTTTTWAGGAATAGTGATTAATTATAAAACAATTAATTAWWTAAATTACTTACCATCCCCATAWTTGGGTGGAAGGAGACGTCCATATCGTGTGTTAGCAGAACCCCATGTAGGGTTGTAAATGTTGTTACAGGTTCCATCTATAGTACGATATCTATTTTTGGGACATTGTCCATTGAACGTATCACCGCAATTCGTTTGTCTGTAAAAATGATAAAAATATTATTATTATTATTTGTTATAATATATAAAATACTACTAATATTATTATAATGATATATAATTAATATATATATAATACATATATATATTTTGTAATGCTATAATATATTTAGTAGTATTTTATAATAATAATATTAGTATTATTTTATATATTAATATAAAATATTTAATAATAATTATAATTATATTATCATATTTATATTATTTTAATATTTGATCTAATTTTAATTTTACTTTTTTATTTCACCAATATAACTTGCACACATATATTTGTATATTTTATAATTTAATTAATTTTCTAATTATTATTCTTTGTGTTAATTTGTATTTGAATAAACAAAAGAATAGATTAAGAACAAAATGAACAATAAATTTGATAAT